ATATGGGCCGAAGAGACAACAAATGTGGCTGCACTGTGGATACGAATACACGTTAACTCGAAAAAATTCCGTCACAGCGACATTTTTCATTTGTAATTAAGATAGTTTCCTCCGCCTACGACAAGTCCTATTCAAACAGTCTACAGTTAAACAGTTGACTTTTCTTCCGCCAATTTATTGATTAATTTCCACACAGGGAATTCTTGAAATTGTTTTTTCACAATCGTTTTAGGCTAAAACAGGTTTCCTTGGCAATTATAGTTGAAATCGAGTACATAGAAATATAACTTCGCAGGGCGAAATTGTCTAGAAATGGCTATCGGCTGCTACTTGCTGTTGAGTCTACAAAACGAATAAATGATATCCAAGACTAGTATGACAAACTATCCTACTGAAACATTCTTCGGTCCGCCGAATAGTACACTAATCGGTGGAGTATATCTAGACCGAATGACCTAAAAGCGACTCAAAACATTATTCGGCTCACCCTGCTTTATTTATCCAGTTTGTACGTATTTTAATAACGTACCTCTGCAAAATCATTCTATCCACTTCACAAGAATTTCTAGTTCTTAGTTTTTTGAAAAAAAACTAGCTATTTCTAACGAAAATAATTTTTTAACTTCCTTAACCTATTACCTCCCATAATTTTAACCATTTTGATTTTTGTTATGAAACTTGGATACCTATGGTTTTTCAAACTTGTATATAAATCAATTTAGAGCGATTTTTTTAAAATCTTATGTGGATATCAGAGAAATATACCTAATAGATATAACATGAAGGTTAAATATGCGTATATACAGACAGATAATTGCGAAAGCTCTTAATTTTAAAGTGATCTCATATGAGATCACCGAGAGGTAATGGTTAACGTTTTCCGGTGGGGATTAATAATAAAAATGACTACTTACAAACTTTCAATAGGTCCAATTTGCGCATATCCAGACACTTCTTCGATTATGTTAGCCCATAGGAGTTATTCTAGTAACTTTATTGGCTTTCTTTGAAGTCCTTTTTGTTCTTTCAGCAACCTCTTCAACTTTAAAGTTCAGCAAAACACTTTGAATCAACTTTAATTTCCTTCTTATTGCGCGATTATAACGCAGTAACCCTTCAACCACGAATTCCGTAAGACACTTGGGCTGGGTGACTTCTGCCATTGCGCGACCTTACGATAAATCCCTATTCGTTTCCACATTAACTTAAGGTCGTAGGTTTTAAATTTGTTTGTTTTACCGATCTATTTAGCTCGGTCTCGGATATATAATGCTTTCCTTCTGAAATGAGACGTCTACTGTGACACAGGTCAACTACTGTAAGTCTTCAAGCCTAGACAAAAGAATTACAGGATGGGAAAATATTTTTCTGGTAAGCAAGTAGCTAACGTAGGATAAAAAAGGAGTAAGAGCTTACTTTCGGCTGACCTCCTTTTCATCAGCAATCATGCGGAGGGGTTTCTCGAGTTGTTTATAGTCGAGTGGCAGTTTAGCCTCCATCTCATACAGACGCATCATCTCCTCTGAGTTGAGGTCGGCACCCTCACTTTCAGCAACCAGCTGACTTTCCAACTCCGGCATCGCACTGGCTCCGGCCTTAAGCGGCAGCTGAAGATCGTCCATCTATAGGGGGGAGAAGATGGGCGAGCAAGTAAGGCGGAAGAGGAGAGACAACTACTTGGCAGTAACATTTCCGGTTAGAGCCAGTCAACGCCAACAAACCTTAGCTGACTGCAGCAAAGAGTGACGCTCTGAGCGTTTATTTTCTAGCCGGTTTTCAATCTGGTTGAGCTCCTTCTGTTGTTTCTGAACCTCACGTTGACGAGAGACCAGGCGCCGACGAAGTTCACCCAGCTCACCCTCCAGTTGTTCGTTCTTCTGCTGAAATTCAGTGAGTTTTCCCTCCATATCAGTCTTGCGGGCTTCCTCCACTTCCATCTCCTCCTTCAATCGCTTCTCCTGCTTCTTGCAACGCTCCATCTCGGAGCGCTCGCCGGTAACTGTCTCTTCCCACCGGTGAACATTGGCTGGGGGGAAAAAACGCGAAACCTGTATATGCATGTGTTTGCATGCATGTAGAAGAGGCTAACCACTTGGATTTTATCATA